AGTCTTGCTCTAACGCTGAGGCCCAGAGCCCTGAGTAGGGGCACAGCCATGGTGATTTATGCATGAGAGCAGCTGTGTAGGGGTCCTCTCTCACTCTCAGAGAAACAGTATTCCCACTAGTTGAGACGAAGTCACAGAGATACACAGAATTCTGCCTCCCTCTGGCCACCATCTTGGATTCCTCCTTCTGTTCCTTTTGATGTTGCTCCCCCCATTAATAGACCCCTGTGGTTATATTTTTAAGGTATCTCTGGAAAATCTACAATAATCTCCCCATATCAAGACCCTTAATTTAATCATATATGCCCCCCTTTTTTTTAAACAAATAAGGTGACATTCAAAGGTCTTGGGATTAGAATATGTGGGGCCATAATTCGTTCTACCACCATGTCCTTAGCCACATGTGCATGGCTTTCTTATAATTTCTTCTTTAAGTAAGAGTTTAGATGGATGGTATAGCTCCAATTTCAAAGTCTTTTTTTTTTCAGAATATTGTAGTTTATCTCTCTATCTTCTTTTAGACTATCAGTGTTAGAGATAGTGTCATTCTAAGGAAGAATTAAATTTTGTTGTTACTATAATTATCTTTGGTGAACAATAGTCTTCAAATTCTTCTAGTGGTGCGCTATGGTCATCTTGTGCCCCAGGAAGGAACTTGAGTGCAAAAACATATTCTCCAGTATTAATGTCCCACCCTCAGCTTAAGTCCCTGCTCACCTCTACCAGAGGGGTCTTCTCCTATGCTCTTGCCTCCCCTTAGTGGAAACCTCCTGTTACTTGTTATTTCCATGTGCTATGCTCACAGTAAAGGGCAAGTGGGATCCAGGAGAAGGTTCTTTGTTGTTTTAAGCCCATCTCAGCTTGGAAAGGTCCTGTGTACCTGGCCTAGGGGTGGTACTTTCTTGGCATTTGGTACCGTGCTCTTTGTGACAAGCCTAATTCTGCCTTGTATCTGTGATTGGTCTTAAGTAGTGGGCTCCCACCTCTTCTTCAGGGGTTGATGATGCTCGTTAAGTATAGGCATAGGATATTAGATCCCCAATGAATTCCTGCCTCTCTTCCTATGTAAACAAATTTTCTTCTACTTTTCCTCTAATTATAATGGCCATCTAAACTTGCATATGCCCTGGAAATAAAAGGCTTTTCTCCTGCCTGCTGAAGTCTTAAGGCTATTATTTGTTAAAAAGGGAAAAACTAAGGAAGGAGCAGGGTTTCACATACATCTCTTCTCTCTCTCTCTCTCTCTCTCTCTCTCTCTTTCTCTCTCTCTCTTTCACACATACACACACACACACACACACACACACGACAAGCCATAAGTTTCAGCTAGTTTATTTTATAATTGCTTAATAATTTCCACAATGTGGATAAGTTCTTTCCATCCTGCATAAAGTCATGTTGAGAAAAATAAGAACCTTTAAATTATTATAGCAGGTTCCCCTATAAAATAAGGTACAAGTAATTTTAGACCATAACGCCATGACACATTTCCTAATTATTTTCATTTTTTATTTGTTTTAATTAATTATGTATGACAGTAGAATGCATTTATGCACTTTGATATATCATACATAGATGGGATATTTTTCTGAGTGTACATGTTGCAGAATCATATTGATCATTCAATCATATATATATATATATATATATATATATATATATATATATATAAATGATTATAATGTTTGTTTCATTCTACTATCTTTCCTATCCCTACATCCCCCCATCACTTCCCTCTACTTAATCTAAGATAACGCTATTCCCTAGTGCCCCCCCTCCACCTTATTGTGAATTAGCATCTGCATATTAGAGAAAACATTTGGCCTTTGATTTTGTGGGATTGGCTTATTTCACTTAGCATGATATTCTCCAACTCCAACCATTTACTAGCAAATGCCATAATTTTACTCTTCTTTAAAGTTGAGTAATAGTCCATTGAGCATATATACCACATTTTCTTTACCCATTCATCTGTTGAGGGTCATCTAGGTTGGTTCCATAGTCTAGCTATTGTGAATTGAGCTTCTATAAACACTGATGTGGCTGTGTCACAATAATATGCTGATTTTAAGTCATTTGGGTATAAACCAAGAAGTGGGATAGCTGGGTCAAATGGTGGTTCCATTCCAAATTTTCTGAGGAATCTCCATACTGCTTTCCATAGTGGTTGCACTAATTTGCAGTCCCACCAGCAATGTATGAATGTACCTTTTTCCCCACATCCTCGCCAACATTTATTGTTGCCTATATTCTTGATGGTTGCCATTCTGACAGGATTGAGATGAAATCTTAGAGTAATTCCCATCTAATTATTTTAATTACAATGAAAATCAACTATGGCAAGAGCAGAGACAAAAGTCATAGGTGGATAGGTGTTCACTAAACACTTCCATTGGATTTACTAGTTTAACATACACTGTACTCACATTAAAAAATCATTTTCAAAAGCATTTCCATTATATTAGTGGAAACAAATTAATTTAGACACTTAGTAAAACATTAAATTATATGTGTGACCTTTAGAAAGACACTAAACCTGCCTGGACATCTAGTTTCCCAGGTCCCCATGTATAAATTATGAGGGCTACTTAAATCATAACTCAAGCTCTCTTCCAGTGGTATTACTTGGGTTAAAGACAGCCACTGGAATAAAAGGTCAATTTACAGCTTGGTAGGTGTGTTGGGGGCAGGAGCTTTTTCTCTTCTCTGTAAATTAAAATGGCTAAACTTAAGTCAAGATCTCCCATTTCCTTCTCAAAAATTCCATAATTTTATATACTTCCCACTGCATGCATCTATATTTTCTTCTAGGATTACAGGTTTCCTCTAAGGAATGTGGATTTTGGATACAGAAGTAACTATTAGAGACTATTTACACTGCAGAGATGAGAGAGAATGTAAAAACATTGCTTAATTTCCCTCCTCTACCTTCCCCCTCCCCAGCCCTGAACTCCCATTTCTTAGCTCCATTCAAGTGAACTGGGACAAATTGCTACCTAGATGTAGCAATTTCACTTCCAACTAGATGTTCCAACAAAGTGGCTGGGGTAGTGACCTCCGCTTATGCTCCTGAGGTCCCATGAGTCTACAGTAAATAAATAATAATGATATTTATAGATTTCAAAACAGATCCAAAGGACATAAAACTACACAGCTTTCAAATTATTTCAAGAATAAATTCCGGGTGAACGGATTTTTAGGTCGAGTTAGAATTAGTTAAGGAGAAAGATGTGCTTGGCTTTGAGGTTTAAAGCATGAAGAGGTACAGGATTGGTCCAAACTGAAATTGCTTCAGCACAGCCTTAAAATATGCTAGATAGAATCAGTTAGAAGGACTCCACACAAGGACAGGAGGTCTAAATTAGGGCACAGAGGGCTTAAGAAGCAGTTACTCAGAAATCACTTTTTAAGATTTTTGAAAATTACGTAAGTATTCAAGTCTTGTAAGGTTCTGAGTTTCTATCTTCTCCTGATTTTATTAGTATTATAAATATTTTGTGAGATATATAGAGAGTGTTTTAACCCTTTGCCCATAATATATTTTGTGAATATGATCCTAAAGTTATTTTTTACCTTTGAGTTTCAATATTTTTGATTCATAAAATCATAATTTTTCTCCTCAACTTATAAGTGTTTCCTACCTTGATCTATGGACTTCAGTGTTATATTTAGATAATCTTCCCCACTTCTGTAAAATTACACATTTTTAACTTTATCATATCGTAACACATTTATAAATTTTTATGCCTCTAAAACTCAAAGCACTTTATATTAATTATGGTATATGATGTTAGGGGAAGGTCAACAAATAATGTAATTTCATTTATTGAACAAATAATCCTGATCCTTTCCTCATTAGTTTGAAATGTCATCTAAATAATGTACCCTCATGTCCCCAGATCTGTCCTCCTGTACCGCTGCCTGCTATAAAGCAGGTGATTATAAAATCATTCTGCTCCATTATGTAGGAAGTTCCCTGGCAACAATTTCCTTTACCCATTATTTTCCAACAAGTTTATTTGTACTTCTTATATGCATACTATTTCAAATAATCCTTAGGATATTTTGATACATATTTTTAAAATCTATCCAGGTGTGAGATACATAGTTTAAATCAGTTGTGTTTTAGTTTTCATTTGAGAAAGCAAAATTTTAAAAAGTAAAATGGAAACGAGTTTCTTTTTGCAAATCTGAAAGCCTTTAGTGGGCTTGTTCACTTGTTCATGAGTTAATCTATTTATATAATAGTTCCAGTCTGAAGTATTTGCCAATTCGGATTCAAATGACCTTAAATGTTTATATCCAAACTTAACTATTTACCATTTCCTGATAATCAAAATGTCTAATAATGTGTTGTTGATAGATGATTTAATGTAATTGCTTTTGCAAAGCAATTATGTCACCAGTGTTCTTATTTACATGAAATTATATGCCTCTAGTCACTTCATTCTCTTGTGTTCTTTGATGTTTCCACAAGGGCAGCATTCTCAATTCTGATGGAATGAGGTAGTCATTGTACCAATTCGACAGGTACAAATAATGTCTTTATAGAGAAATATGCCCTATCTGATGCCTTATCTTTTCCTTTGTATTAAACCCCTACCTGTAGTAAAAACCTATTGCTAGTTGTTTAGTATGAAAGAATGTATCACACCACTTTTCTTCCTAGAAAGTAGACAGGGATAAGAAGTAACAGGAAAATAGAGGAACAAAACTCTAAATTCATTTACTTCATAATTTTGCCTGGTGTTAACCTGGTTAATTTGGGCTTAAACCTCACTATTACTCTTATCAACTTTGCAAAAAATAAATTTTAATTAGAGTGTACATTTTTAGCCTTCACTATTCTATAATTAGATATTTTCTTTCTAGATTTTGATGGGAATTTAAAACTTTTACACTTCCCTGGAGCAAGTGTCGTGAGTGAATTATAATAAGCTAAAATCTAGGTGTTCTCCTGTCTTTGAAAATGGAATAATTTTACTTCTTTTCCTTTGCAGTTTCTTCTCTGTGGCATATGTGGGATATTGTGCGCCAAAAAAAAATCAGGACTCGTCGTAAGTTATTTCCTTGTTTGTACAATGCATTGAAGTGTTTAAAATATAAGAATTCAAAACCAGAAAAGATGACTAGCCAACTTCCATGTACTAAATGTTACTAGCTAGGATAAAAATGAGACTGACAAATCTGACAAATATATCCTGTGACTTTCTTGTTTCAAAGAAAATCATCCAGAGTAGTAGAGACAATGACAAAACACCAGCACAAAAAAAGCTTTGATATGCTCTCCTAATACATAAATATGCAAGCATTAATGTCTGCTAGGGATGACAGCCTCCAGTTTTACACTTAGAGACTCCTGGGCAATCACCTGAAACCTTCCATGAGCTAAAAACAATAAAGCTTGAGTCTTTGGGAAATCTAACTGGTTGAATATGGATCTGGGCCTAAGAATTACTGGCTTTATGAAACTAATTTTACAAAGCAGCAAGACAGCTGTGTTGTTATGGTTACAGACAATTCTTAAAGATTTATTTTATTTTATTACTATAAATGCACATGTAAGTGTTTTCAGATGTTTAATGGTTCTATCTTAGGTTCTGGGGTAGGGAACATGCTCCTGGTTGACTCTGACATTGGACTGGAGGAGAACACCACATGCTGAAATGTGAATCCTCCTCTTGCCTTCCATGTCATTTTATGAAAGTTTGAAGAGAAAGAAAAAGCATGTCTTATTTTATTTAATACAAAAGGAAAAATAACAAACCTTTGCCAAATGGCAAAATCAATGCTGCACAACAACTCTAGGAAGTGGCCTTTGAGCCTGAAGTTCTACAAGGAGAGGCCAGGTATCTGAGCAGGACCAGAAATGTGTAGAATTGCAGCTATCTTCATTTTGCCCCTTATTCTAATTGTGCCTTTCTCTGTGATAACTTCCATTGTGACAAAAACGATTACATACTCACTGCTGTAGATATGTGAGCTGTAATATTTGAAAATTATATAAAGGGGGAAAAAGAAATCTTTGGGAGGAAAAAAGTGTTTTCTTGGGTACATGGAATTGGCACCTATGATTCTCCCATCATTCTTTAGACATGGCCTTCATTCTTCTACACCTTTCCTCTACCAAGGCTCTCTATGGCTGTGTAAGAACAACTTATTGGGAGAAAAAAGCAAGGAAGGACAGAAAGGAAATACGGATGGAGGGAGGAAGGGAGGAAGAACTTTTTAAAAAGACACTAGTGTCTGTTTTCTGTCTTTCTAAGTCTCTTATAAAGTAAAGTATAAAAGAAAAAAATCATAAGATCTGAACATTTTTTTCATTGTGCTTGACCCACTCATGGCTGGGCCTTCTGTTGGCACCTAGATGCACTTAGCTAAGATGGCATGTTATCCTGGAAGCTTCCAACAACCCTCACTGGCTAAACTCTAACCTCCCCTTTTTCCTATGCCTAGGGCAACAATTCATCTTTTCCTCTTAATATTTATCACACCACCTTGAGGAATTGAGTCTTCTCTTTCACGAGATCTCAAGGAGAATAATTATGAGCTATTCTTGGTAGTGCCAGCTGCCTCACTTGGGATCTCACAGGTGCTAGGTACTCCTCAATGCTGCTAAACTTCTACCTATGGAAAGCAAATAATACCTGTTCATGTGAAACTAAATGCTAAAGTAAGTTATAAAGCTGCTTGCTCTGGAGAATTATAGCAAAGGAGGGGGTCAATAAATCCAGGAAGGCATTCTGAAAAGTTAAGACTTGATTTGTGCCTTTCATTGAGGAACACAAGGAATAAGCAAAAACATTTCCAGGAAACTAAAAATATCCTTGAGATGTAAATGAGCAAGCTCCGTTAATGGAAAATCTGGGCTGGGGTGTAGATCAGTGCTGGACTTGGAGCTTGAGAGGTTGGGTTCCATCCCTAGCCCAGTGGGCGTGGGGGTAGAGTGATTGAATACTATGTTCCAGAGAAGAATGGAAATAAGTTTGGATAATTAAATTAGTATCATATTATCAAATACCAGGAAAGCCCACAGGATAATTTATACCAGATGCAAAAACAAAGTAAAATTATTAAATTTCTTGAAATAGTAAATTAAGTTTCTTAAACATTCAGAAAACATTGCTACAGAAGGCATTGCACTTCATCTTCTGGGATGCTATTTAGATATGAGTAGAGACCCAGATCAAACCAATAATAAGTTTGAAAGCTAAGCCATAATCAAACAGTATTTTTGGAACACCTATTATTTATATTTCATTGTAGTGCCACCAGAGTAAACAAAAGATTTGTAAGGTAGAAGGGCCAGTTCATGGGAATTCCTTAATCTACCTGTTGAGGAAAAAGATACACAAGCAATAAACGACTTACTGAAAGTAAAAAGGATTTAACTAAATTCCCTAAGTTCATATACATAGGAGGCACAAATATTTGAAGTTAAGTGGAAGTAATGAAAATTCAATAGATATTTTGACACTTTGAGAGGACTGACATAGTGAAACTGGATTTAAGCTAGAAAATCTAAGTACCTAAATTTGAGTTTATTCTAATCACCATTCATTTTTCCAAAATGTGCATTAGTATGTCTTTCAATGAACTGCTGGCAAGGCTAATTGAGATGACATCTATTGCTATTCCTAGCATAGTGGCCCACAATAGGTATTAAATAAATGTTGTTTAAATCTGTATCTAGCTGAAAGACAATGCTTACTTCAGAATTCTCATCAGATATATCCTTGATTTCTATTTCTGAGACACTGTGGTGTACTTCCTCTCCAATAAGTCAGACCAAGTAGAATCCCTACTGAAAGGCTAGCTTCTGTCCTCTATTAGTACCTTCCAAAGTCAGCCATCCTGGACATGCAACAGCCTGTGTTCCAGGCAGTTTTGTGTCTTCAAGTTTAACCCCTCTTTCTTTTCCTTATTAGATGATCCTCTTCTCAGCCTGCTGTATCTGTGGGCTCATTGGGGGCATCCTGAATTTTCAGTTCCTTCGGGCAGTCACAAAGAAGACCTCTTCCCTGTATCCTCTGCATCTTGCCTCCATGTCCCTGGCGTGCATTGGGATTGGGGGCTGCACCCTGTCTTCCTGGCTCACTTGCCGACTAGCCAGCTATGAGCAGAGAAGGATGTTCTCAGAAAGGGAGCATTCCCTGCATCACTCTCATGAAATGGCTGAGAAAGTGAGTTTTGTACCTTTGCCTCCTACTGCTGTCATGTGATGAAGACTGCAGTCTGCTCTGGGTGAATCAACTTGCAACCCTAGATGACAATATGAGGGGTCATATTTTATAAGTTTGGCCCTATTGGATTAAGTATGGGAATTTTAAAATTATTTTCTCTCTGCAATTTATGGTTACACCTATTTTCAACATAATTTTGTAGCCTGTGTATTCAAAACACATTTCCTAAAATAGCACTTCATAAAATATTGAATACCTTATAAATATAAATTTTTATGTATTATACTGAGGAAAAACACTTAAACTCAAAACAGTCTCTATTCAATAGTGCCAGTTTTAGAAATCGCATGAATTCCCTTTTCTATCTAGCTCATCCCTTGTTCTTGTAAGTAGATGCATTTGATTATGTAAATTAGATCATCAAGCATAAAGGGGCTTTTTAAGAAGGCGACAAAATGCTTCATCTATCAGTGCATATTTTACAATCCATATAAAGCTTCATTTAATTCTCATCTTAATTTGATGCATATTTGGATAGCTTTGCCTGTATTTTAAACAATGGTCCTTGCACAATTGTTTCATGAAACCTATTCAAACAGAAAGTTATATTAATTGCATAAAAGAAGAATTAATATAGAGAGCTGTCTGTGTTTCTGCTACATTTTGCACACATTTCTTAATTCAGTTCCTGCTACTGGATCTATTAAGATAAACATCTGTAAAATAAACTCACTAAGATAATGGCCAAATCATATTTTGCTTTGTGTCATGGAAATGAAATTGTACAACCACAGAAAAAAAGAAATAGTGGCAAGAGTTACTGCATTTTTCTTAATAATGTTCCCTTGAAGTTAAATATTTATTTTACAGTTGATATGTTTTCATTTTGTATATGATCCATACAAACAGAAAGAAGATGCTCTTAAATTGTCCCAAGAAAGCAATTTTAGACAGATTTCTGCATATCCTTCAAAAAATAATTAATAGTATAAGTAGCAGGACTGATAATTTAAAGAAATATTCGGTCATTAAAAATAGATCATTATATACTTGGATAGTGAATTTTTTGTGCTCTATTTCTATTCTAGTGTGCTTTCACCTTTTTTGTATGTTTGTGCAATATTTATTGTATAATTGTTATATTTACATTAGAGATTGAGGGCTATTGAAATAACCGACTTGCCCAGCTGCCCGGTGGTGCCCCCGACACCAGAGTTACCTCCAAGGTACGCTGATTTCCAGGGAGTTGCCATGTTGTAACGTTGCTGCAGGAAGCACTGCTTCTTTCAGGAAGCCATGATGTCAGCAGATCAGTTTGGACTGATGCTGTAATGTTGTTCCTCAAAGTATCACTTTCATAAGGGCTGCTTCGAGGAGTTGACATAAACCTACATGGCAGTGTCTTGCAGCTTGAAAGTTGGTTGAATATTTAAAATATTCAGCCTGCCTTTAAGCATCCAAACACGTTTCTGCTTGGATGATTCATAATTCCTTTTATTCTCTGCTACATCATGATTCTGACTCAATATCATCATTCACAGACCAGTTTTGCTTTCAATAATAGATGAGTCTACAAACTGTATCTCCAGCTTGCCAAAATTGCATGAACGGAGAGCCAAAGTTTGACACTAATATAGCACAAATTCTGAAAAAAAGGTTTTCTGGCAAAATTATCCAATACAACATTTTTCCAATTTATTTTCCATATTTCCAATTGCTGAAAATAAAGTTCTTGATTTATTTTAACAGTATAATTGGAAATACAGAAAATTATATAGTGACCCATTTGCAGAAAGTATGTCCATTTGCAAATATCCACATTTGGCCCTACCCAAATTTCTAATAGAAACATCTTGTTTAACTGGACATTCCTATTTGCAAATAAGTTGATAAGACTCATCCATTTCAAAACTAATTTTTACTGTTATTTCCTATGAATAATTTAACTGTGTCCTTATGGGGTGAATTTAATTAAAACAATTATCTTATTTCATAAAATTTTTAGAAACAACTTTCTTTAAATTTGCAATAAAAGACTGATACTTTAGTTTTTTTATTATTTTAAAGCAGTTTTAGTAATGCAAATACTTTTCTGAAAAGGAAAGACAAATAAGATTCTTATTTCTATAAATCCATTAATAAAATTCTTCTACTTCTGGCAGGATGAATAAGAAAAAATTTTTGAATAAATTTTGTTGATTATCATTTGGGGGCATGCTTTCTATTAATCTTGCCATTAATAGTGAATTATTAAATGAAGCCTCAAATCAGATTAATACTAGTACAACAACATGAGTATATTTTCAGACAACTTTCACAATGTGAATCTCTAGCAGATTCTCCAAAGAAATCAAGCACTTTCTCAAAACAGAAACTAGATAGAAATTAGATAATTGATAAAATAATTTCACTTGAAGGTCTTTTTTATTCCTGCTCTTTTGCAAATAGGCTTGTTTGAATATGGATGTCATCAATCTATCTTTAGATAATTTTGCTGATATATTATTTATAATATGGTGCACTAACCATAATAAAAGTAAGTGGGCCTCACATTTCATCATCTTTTCTTTTGTAAGGAAAGGCTTAATATTTAATAAGATATATGAATTCAAAACAACTACATTTTTTCTTAAATTAATAAATTCTATAATTACAAATGGAACTTTTTGTGTGATTCTTTACATCTATATTTTCATTGCTTAACTTCTTAGTAATTGGGCCCTTAAAGACATGTTCAGTGATTTCATTGTTCTGCTTTTTGCTGTAAAAGGTGACAGTATCATTTAAAAAAAAAATCTTTCCTCCTATAATTTTTGTAGTGATCCATAGTTACGAGTGAATGACTGCTTTGTGGACCTTTTCAGTTTGTAGTCAAAAGGCTGCATTTTTCTATAGAATGAAGGTAATCCAGGCAGTGTGCTAGTATAACAAAGCAGCCTGTGGGAAAACTTGGGCCCTTGATCATTTTCTTTCTAGGTGAAGTCCTTCCAAAATAAAGTTGAGGGAAAACAAGGAAAGTAGGGAGAGTGAACTGATTTTGTGGGTAGAAGACTTTGGTCTACAAGACTGTCCCTTTAGCATTTTTATGTGCTCCAAAATCCCATAAAATTTTATTTCCTCAAATGGAACAACAATATCAATTCTTGTCCTTCCCCCCAAAAGTTTTTCAATGGCTTGAAATTTCTGTTTTCTACCCTGTTAACCAGATCAATGTCTTACTCTGTAAGTGAATTTTAATTAATTCATGTTATTTTCCTAACAGGAAGTGACAGACAACATGAGCAATGGAGGACCACCACTGATATTTAATGGAAGAGTATAATCAATGTTTTTAGGATGTTCATGAGGCAAGGAGATATCAAGGGACTAGGAGATAAGATTAAAACCGTTCTTGCATTTGCTTTTCTTTCTCCTGAGCATCCACTAAAATTATTCTTCATCAATTTTGTCTCACTTACTCTCCAGCCTTTTTTATGCTCAAGTTTGGTCATTTCAACAAACTTTACAGATTGTTTTGAAGAAGAATTTTCAGGAGAAATAAATAAATAAAACAGAAATAAAATTCATATTCTACACAAACATTTGACTAGCATGAGTATTAGATTTGTAATTACATGTTTCATATTGAGCAATTAAAAAGTGCAAATAACAAAAAATAACAATAACTTATTGATGTCTTTGTTTTGAAAGACCATGGCTTCAAGAATGCCACAAATCAAAACCTCAGAAATGCCTTGTTATAAAAACATTGTAATTCTTTTCGATTTGTGAATGAACTATGTTTCATAATTTATTTGTAAATTATAAAAACCCAAAAACATAAAGAAGAGAATTTTTTAGAAAGACAATATTAATCTGTATGATATTTTTGCATTTTTGCACAAGACTGAAAAGTTGTAAGTGAATACCATCTAAGAAAAATAAATGTTTTGATCATACTGTGCAGATTAATCTACATGTTCACAAATGAGTTAATAAAGTATGTGTGTGTATATACTGTAAATACAGAACATATATACAGCATATATTTATAGCTACATGAATGTAAATAGATAGTAGAAAAGAAATTGTGATGCTGTGGGGTATTTCAACAGAAATGGCAAGGCAATTGCTCAAGGTTTTTCTATGCCCACAAAAATCACAAATTTAATTTCTACTAAAATTTTCCATTTTTATTCTTCATCTGTTATATATACATATCTTTGTGACTGATATTGATGGAGCTGAGTGATCTAAATAGAGTATTATAAAGATAGATTACTTAGTTTTATTGGCTATTTTACTATGATTATAGTATTTATGTAATAATAATCATGGAGATTGATTTATAAATATAACTTTGAATCATATACTTCCATATTATAAATAAAGACATTCTGACTTATGATTATTTTGTGATAGATTTTAGACACACTCCAGCCCAATTAAATTATACCAAAAACAGATGATGTACCCTATCCCAATCTTCCCTTTAAAAACAAAATCACAATTAGCTTTGCTATACTTCATTAAGGTGTTTGCTTTTTCATTTATTTGTTTGTTTGTTCGTTCGTTTGTTTGTTTGTTTTGCAGTACTGGGGATGGAACCCAGGGTTTCATGTGTACCAAACAAATGTTCTACCACTGACCTACACGCCCGGCCCTTTTCTCTTTTCCTTTACAATTAACATGAAATAATATGGACAGACCATGTTTGGGAAGGCATATATCCAAAGGCACTGAAATAGTTATTGTAGAAGGAAATAAAAATATGAATGACATTCATATAGCTACATTCAATACTCTCTTCCATAATGGAATGGTAAAATAGCAACCAATATTGTATATGGACAAGAAAATATCATGGTCTTTGAGAATATAACCTCTGACAGAAAATGAAGAAATCTAATGTTTTTAAATAATAACACACTGTATTGTAGCTTTTTATTACTTCCCAACATGAGTCAATTTTCAAGTCATTTTTTATGAGTTACTTACTAAATCATAGGTAAAATCAAAACCTTTACTATCCATTATGAGAACATGCCATAATTTATAAGGAAGATATGGGTTTTAATTGTGCTAAAAAAAACAATAATTTTAATTGATAGAAACCTGAAGGCTTTTAGTTTTATAGCAACATGATTATCATTTAACTTGTTTAAATTAGTTCCTTTAAAAATTCTGATTATCAATTCAACAGTAATAACTGGACTCTTGTTCAATATAGTTTATAAAGTTTCCCAACTCATTCAGGTAATCTCAATATCTAGTAGATCATACACATCATCCATAAATGCAACCTCAAATAGTGAACCAACATCATCACAGTTCATTTGATGCCACAAACAGTCATGATTTTGTCGCTGAAAATCTAAACTATAAAATGCAGAAATTTTGTGTGTATGCAGTTCTACTGAATTTATGCAAAGATATAGTTTTGTACTGAAAGAAATAAACCACCAACTGTAATTTTGGTGGCATTTCTCTGTAGACACATTTGTACAATACAGAATTATAATACATAAGTAAGATATTTTAACACCTTTAAACTATTTCATAAAACCACACATTAAAAGACAAAAGCATACCACTGCTTTGACATAGTTAAAAAATTGCAGTCATCACAATTATCCAAATAGTACAGTGTTATGTTTAACCAAGTATAGCTATATCTTTAAATACAATTATTTCAACCCAATGTTTTCAAGGCTCATTGTAGAGTATTTACTATGGATGTATAATGATTCCTAGGATAAGTGGGGAAGGTTAAAAAGACATTGTTCTAATAATTGAAGACTTACTGTTGACAATACACTGACTATGAACTAGTTTTTTAAGTGAATATAGTTTTAGTATGAGCCCATTCTTGGGGGAAAGTAATGTGATCCTAAATTAGAAAAAATATGTAAAAATGGGGTGAAGCTGTGGTTTGGAGACAAACTACAAGCTGGTGGAGTTATTATTAGCCTAAAAGAATAAAAGTGGACTCTCTTTAGAAATTTTAAAACATATTTGTATGCATATATGTGTGTGGATGTATGTGTGTGTGTGCTCACACACAATGGTTTTGAAGTGGAAAGTGGTATAATGATTCCACTGATATGTATATGTAATAAAATGGTGTTCTTTGAAACATTGTATGGTTTCAGCTTTGTTTTCATTGTAATACAAAAAAAATAGTTACCCCCAAAGCCAAATAAATAAATGTGTTATTCTGATTGGCAAGGTAAACACTGTTGTGAATAAGGAGAAAGAAACAGCCACAGTGGATATGGAATTTTAAAAGTACACTGCTTAATATAGGAAAAACTAGAATGCATTCAAATGAAGAGAGAGAGAGAGAGGGTTGAGGACACAAAATACAATGATTATAAGAAAATAAAATCCCTGGGGAAGCAGGGGACATGAGATACAGATCATAGAGGACAGAACTAATTATAGGTAGAACTAAGATTGCAAATCTCACAAGTAAAACAACAACATTTAGAGAATTCTGATGTTCTGCTTATGTTTTTCAAATTGGGTGCCAATGACTTATTGTGGAGACTTTTTTATGCATTTCAGGCTATTTTCCATTTCTGGTCCCTACTCATTAAATGCTAGAAGTACATACCCAGTCACCCTAGCAACCAAAGATGCCCTAACAAATTTTCATCTGTTTGTATGGTAGGGAAGTATTGCCCAATTTAGAACCACTGAAGAAAACCACTGAACATGATTCAGGGCAGCCACTTTTAATGCTACCCAAAAGTGTAGACCTGAATTGCTCAAGGTCATAAACTTACAGTCCAAAACTGTTATGATGTAGATTTTAAATATCCCTCAAATCTTCATGTGGTGAAGACTTGGTCCCAACCTGATAGTGCTGTAGTAGGTAGTAGAAGCTTTTAGAAGAGGGGCCTAGTGAAAAGAAGTTGGGTCATTGGGGACATACTCTTGGTGGAGATATTGGGAACCCAGCCCATTCGTCTCTCTGCTTCCTGGCTTCCATGATGTGATAGCCTCATCTATCACACACTCCTCACCATGATGTTCTGCCTCATCGCAGGCCCAGAACAACAGAGCCAGCTGACCATGGACTGAAAATTGAAAATGTGAGTCAAAATAAAGTTTTCCTTATATTTTTCAAGTATTTTGTCAGAGTAACAGGAACAGACTAACATAAAAAATAGGTACCAAGAAGTAGGATCATTGCTTTGATTATACCTGATGATGGTAATGAGAACCTTCAGAATTAGTTTGTGGGAGGAGTTTGAAAAAGTGTGGACAAGAGGGTTAATAAAAGCCTAAAATAATAAAAGTGGAGGTTAACAAGAGATTTTGGTAGGGGGCTCAGAAGACCAGAATATTAATAGGAATACAGAGAGTAAAGTTGCAGGTGGAGATGAGATCTATTTTGGGAACTGTAATGAAGGCCATTCATGTTGCATTCTGGCAAACTGTCTACATTTTGTCCATTCTCTGAGACTTTGTATGAAGCTGAGTTTAAAGGTAACAGGATAATTAAAGTGGTGAAGGAAATTTTAAGGCAGCACAGCATTCACAAAATGTCATGGCTATTGCTTGTTGTTTTCAGCTAGATTTACTGTGAGAATAAGGAGCAAAAAGCAGAGCAGAAAAAAATTTAAAACCTGCTGTTTGGTCAGAAAAGAAGCATGTTTGAAGTTGCAGCCAAGTGGGTACATGCAGTTGCTGAAAAGTTGGTGCCATTATAAGGAAACCAAGTATTTTGCACAAGAAAAATAGGCAAGATACCTTCAGAGCATTCCAAGAGTCAGCAAGGCTCAAAGATTTTTGTTTGAAAGGGAGTCCCAGAATGTAGTGCTGGCACAAGGCCTAATAGGGAATTGTTTCCCCAGGATTCACCTCACCCCATTCCAGGTACTCAGAGACCACTACAACCTCGGTTTTACTGGGCCTAGCTGCTCCTCAAGCCAGTGGAAGACCTTGGCATTGTTCTCCTGGTGCTGGTTTTGTATGCACAAAGAATGCAAAAGGTGTAGAGTCATAAAGGCTTCCACCAAGATTTCAAAGGACTGGGAAGCCAGGCAGTATGTGGCAGGGTTAAAATTCTGCAAGCAGTCCCTGAGAGGGTGAGAATACAGCTGAAGCTGCATGGAGAAAGCTAGAGAAGTTGGAGATGCCAAAGATGTGAAACATCTACCAAGGGAAATGAGAGGCAGTTAGGGTTAGAGCAGACCCATCCCGAAAAAGAGGCCATGTGTACTGCAACTGGCAAGGTCACAGAGGTTGTTTTGCCCAAGCCTTTTGGAAGTCACATCAAACCACTGTATGGCAGACATGAAGAATTAATGTCGGCCTTCAAGGTTTTGGTCTTGCTTTGTTCCAATTCCTCCCTGCTATTTTCCTATTCTTTCCTTTGGGAATAGGAATTATTACCTCATGCCTACATCTTGGAAGTATGTCATTTGTGTTTTGATTTTTACAGGGGCTCACAGAAAAAAGAGTTTTCACTGAGCCTCACAAGACTTTGGACTTGCATTTTTGAGCATTGCTGGAACATTTAATGCTTTGGGGACTATTGACATGTACTGAATGCATTTTGCATTGTGAGATGGACATGAGACTTTGGGGGCCAGGGACAGAATGTTATGACTGGGATTTGAAATGTCTCCAAAATGCTTATGTATTGAAGATTTGGCCTCTAGCTGATGGTGCTATTAAAGGTGGTGGAACCCTTAGGAGGTGGGACTTAGTGGAAGGAAGTTCTGTTTTGAGTGTGTGCCTTTGAAGGGGATATTGAGAACCCAGTCCCTTCCTCTTTCTCTCTTTGCTTCTCAGCAACCATCATATAAGTAGCCTTAGCCACCACACATTTCCTACTATGATGCTCTGCCTTGCCACAGGCCCAAAGCAATAGAGCCAGTTGACCATGCACTGAAATGTCTAAATCTGTGAGCCAAAATAAATCTATCCTTCCTATAAGTTGATTGCCTCAGGTATTTTGTTTCTAATGCATAAAGTCTCCCTGTATTATTCAATATGATAGACACTAGTCACCTGTGACTATTTAAAGTTAAATGAACCTTAATTAAAACAAAATTCCATATTCCATCTCCATCAAACTAATCATATTCCAAGAGCTGAAAAACCATGTATGGTTTTTAGGTCCAGAATATTTCTATCAATAGAAATATTCTGTAATATTCTACAATAGGACAGAATATTTCTATCACCTCAGAAAGTCCTATTGGACAGTATAGGTCAAAAGCACATAAAGAACTACCTGCCTTTCTTTCAATCCTTGTGAATGTTCTTCTACAGTCGACCAATCATTAAAATAGGAAGTGTGACAAGAGTTTGTAAACACTCTGTGGAACTTGAAAATATATGGACTAGAAATTCCACAGACTGTGCAAAACTAGTAAAAAGTACAAAAAGTAGGTGATTGTAGTTTGCAGTAGGTCAATACATAGTAATGTTGAGAAATGGTTTTAGAAATTTCATGTTAAAAAATCTGCTCACAGAAAGATTCCACTAAATCATCAAATATTCTGTGCTTGACAGGCAAAATGAAATGTTGGGTAACTTCTATTTTGGGAGAAATTTACTCCACATATTGCCATGTTTCAATACACAAACTGCATTTCCTGTGCTTGGGAAGGTGATAATAACAATATGCTGCCTTCTACTTTATTCTTTGATTTAGCTCAAAAAATGGCATGTTGTAAAACCTTATGTCCCAAACTACATTTTCAAAAATTATTTAGCAAACATGTTTCAGAAACTTAGAGGGAGCATCTTAAGTACCGTTTGGTTAGAACACTGTTTCCAAATAAAATTTTGAAACTTGGCATCACTTCACTCTTTTCTTCTTTAAGCCACTTTTTTTTCTGGAAACATATGTAATACTTCTTACTCAAAGTGTATGACAGCCAAGAAATTCAATTATTCTAAATCCATAAATCACAAGTTGTCAGTTACTCAGAGCAGAGGAAACCAATTCTGATGAGATGCCTAGTAAAACTATATGGAGGGAGATTTTTCTCCCTTTGCCAGGAAAACTATGTATTGAATACCAGAGTCTTTACTAGGAATGCGTAGTCCAAGAAATATATTGTTAAAATATCAAGCTATAGAGCTAAAGCTTTGTTTCAATGGTGTAACAGTTTAATGTTATCTATTATCAACTAATTATAAGGAAGACACTCCTTCATTTTAGGCAGATAGCTTTCATATATTTGGAATTCTTGAAGGTCTATGAACCATCTTTACTTTCCTTCACATCAGCTAAAATCTACTGATTTGGAAGGTTTTTCTTCATTAACAAACAAAGGCTATACTCCTTTAGCTGCGAAAATACATTACAGCCTTTCTCCAAAGCCAACATCTATTATGTTACTAAAAATTGCCAAGAAGGCTCTGGAACTTGGCTGAAACATCACAGAAAAATCTATAATCGTGTCAAAGCAGAACCATGTCCATTATTAACCATGAGGAATCAGGACTTAGGACCAAACCTTGCTATTTATCAGTCAGGGTACCAGTGTTTGCCTAATCATTAGGACAGTGGTTCTCAAACATTATTCCATAACACCCTAAGGGAGAATTAAAAGGAAATCCCTTGGGTTTGCCAAGGTCACTGCCCAATAAAGAAAAGCTCTTCCACTGACAAACTTCCCCTCACCCTGGACCATTGATCAGTCAGAATAAGGAAACTGAAATCTTCTCTAAAACATGTACTCCAAGGCCCCTGTTTAGATAGCTGCCTATATACCCACTGCCCTCATTCCTATCCCCAAAGTCTATTGAGATCCAGTCTTTCTGTCTTCAAAATATGTTCATATTTATTCTTAACTAAATCTGTAAGAAAATAAAACAAAGTTTCCATCCTCTATAATAAAATGAAAATCCAGAGAAAGTGTCAAGTTTTCAAGTTACAGAATGAAGTACTAGTAATTTTTTTAAAAAATTTTTTGTAGTTGTAGATGAACAGAATGCCTTGATTTTATTTGCTTGTTTTTATTTGCTTCCAAATCAGTATGATCAAACTCAGTGCCTTACATGTGTCACCGAACTACAGCCTGAGCCCTAGTAATTTTAATCTATTGCTATGTCAGCAAAAAAGATAGTCATACAGCAGGTGAAAGGA